GAGAGTTTACTGTTGGAGCTTCATCCTCCAGCAGAGTACAAACAGTCTGAGAGAAACTCGGAGGTTGAATAAAGATCCGGGCTCGGTTTGGTTCAGTTCGGCTCACAGACTTTACAGAAGTTGCATGAGTTCAGTCGCCTCTTGTTTGTTTGTTTGTTTGTTTGTTTGTCCCCCTCCTCCTTCCTCTTTTTGCTCGGCTTCCGTGTCGCTGCTGGATGGCGATCATTAACCCGTTCAGCTCGGTGTGACCCGGTACAGCACGGGAGCGGCGGATCAGCGCGCTCCGTGCAGCGGGGAGCAGCTACAGCCGCGCAGCGCTGCGGGCATCCTGCAGCAGGCGGCAGGGAGCGCTCCCTCCCGGCTGGACGGGACGCTCCTCACTGGGGGAGCAGGAGCAGGAGCAGGAGGAGGAGCGGGGTCGGGGATGGTTTATATCCGCCGCACATGCCTCTGTTTCCCGCATGGACTCCTGCTGAGTGCCGCGCTGTGACTGAGGAAACTAGATATCTGCAGGGGGCAGCTGAAGCTCTGCAGCGGACTGACCAGGACCAGGACCAGGACCGGGACATCCAGCTGCTGCTCTACCTGCTGACAGACGATCCTCAGACCTTCACTGGCTCTCTGTCCGTTTGAGCGTGAAGAAATCTGACTGATTATTTTCAGAAAATGTCGCATTCGTTCAACTCAATTAGATTCATTCCTCATAGAAAGTCTCTCAGAGGGAGAATGAGGAAATTCACATAAACATAAATAATCAATAGTCAATAATCAAATTCCGTTTCACATGTGATGAATTCAAAACTTTAAAATTAGAGTTTTGGGATCTCCAACATCAGTAATCAATCAATCAATCAATCAATCAATCAATCAAGTGAATCCCAGTGTTCTGTTTAACATCTGAACTACATGTGATCTTCTCTCTGGTTTTGTGTCACTGGCTGTTTCCTGTCAAGCAGAGAAGTCGTGTTCTTGTGCCAGAGCTTGAGAAATCGCCAGGAAAACTGCGACAAGAAGTCAAGTTGTTGGAAGTCGAGAAACTCAATATTCTTATTGCTTCTTCATAAAACGGCAACCTCCGGATGTAACACAACCTGCAGTTCCTCTAACGGCCACTAGAGGCTGGCTCCATAAGGAACCATATTAAAACTTTACAGCCGAAATAAACATGTTTACAGCCTTTTGGAGGCTGTAAACATGGAGATATTTTCCCCGTTAATGACAACTGTACAACTCCCCCCTTTAAATGATATTAAGGATTAAAGTTTTATATAATTAACAGCTGTTTACATTCAGTCTCAGCACCATTGACCACGCTGAGTCAGTGTTCGGACCGTTGATGCTTTACACAGTTTAAAAGATTGAGAGTTTTATAGTTAAAATTTGAATCCATAAAGCAGTAAAATATTATAATTATTCTCCATTTCAGATCTTCATTCAAATGAATTTATGAGTCTGGCTGTAAATTTGATCCAATTATCTTTAAATCTCGTGGAGCACCTGTTTGTCGGAGCCTGTTTTTAAATAAACGTGGCGTCGACCTCGGCTGATCTGCTGCAGGTTTCCTCCCGGCTGCGAGTCGGCTGAGGTTAATGAACAGAAGCTTTTATGTTAATAGAAGGACAGCCAGCGTGATTTAACAAGACAATCTGCAGATCCACTTCGCTCAAATACCGGGCGGCTAAACAACGTTTCGGCGATGAAGGTCAAGACAAAGAGAAGGTAATTAGATTACAGCAATTAAATGGGCTTTTCGATATGATCAATAATCTTAATGTGTAATCATGGATTACTCGCTCAGGACTCTCACGAAGGAGCTGATTCACGCTGAGAAGAGTCTGTTTGTGATCAGACATAAAGTCTGCGTTCACACCGTGGACAGAAACCTGGTTCTGTTTGTGCTGACGGTGTGAACGCAATCGGACATTTTTAATCACTGATCCTGATTCTGGTCTCCTGAGTCTCTCTGCTTCTTTACCTCCTATCAACGTGTTTCCAACAGCATCCAGACTTCCAGAAGTGAAATGATGAAACGTTATTATTATTATTATTAAATTATTATCAGTTTGTCTGCAGCGTGTCAACATCCAGATAATAATCCTGTCTTCTTCCATTCCGCTGTGTGTTTCAGAGGCTGTTTAAAAGCTAGACTGAAGATACCGGTATCATATGAAACTCCACACCAACCATCGACATGTAAAAGATGGACGTCTCCACTTCTTTCCACTAGTGCCATCTTGTGCTGGCGACGTGATCCGGAGCCAGAGTCTGCGCAGTAGTGATCTTTTTATATCTTCAAATAATTAAAAACCAAACTAAAAATGAACAGTTAAACAAACATCAGCGTGATGAGTTGTACCTACTGCAGTCAGCCACCAGGGAGCGATAGAGAGGTTTTAGCATCACCTTCGGAGAGCAGTCATGTCGTCCAGCTTTATAAATATCGATGGTACCAACCGACATGTGAGCTAAAAACCTGGCATGGCCATTTTCGAAGGGCTCCCTCGACCTCTGACCTCAAGATATCTGAATGAAAACAGGTTCTATGGGAACCAACGAGTCCCCACTTTAAGCTAATCTCAAGCAGTTTTGGTGTTTGCCTGTAGTGTAAATGTGTTATTTTACACATTTTGCATTACTGGGATTAAACAGTATTAAAATAAAAAAAGAAGTGAAAGTACTTCATGCCACCCCGGTGTAAGTCAGTGCCCCATTGTGCGACCGGAGAAGAGGAGGCAGCAGCTCACCTGACAGTGACCAGAAACCTGGATCAGGTGTTCATACTGTACAGGTTTGGGGAGAGACCTTCCTCCTGGTGTGTGCTTTTCTCTATTTCTGACTCCACTTTCATGAATCCAAACCACAAATGATGCTGAACTGAACTCAGCAGTGAGCGGTAAAAGCAGCCTGAGGCGCCATCTAGAGTCCACAGACAGACACTGCGACACAGCTGTAGCAGTCCAACTGTTCATATCCTGCACACCAACATATCTGAGAGACCGACTGAGAGGGACAACAGGATTATTCATATTCAGCATTTCATATTTTTAAAGAAGTAAATAATGAACTTAATGCTGTAAAATACATTGAGCCATTTCTGTGAGTATTGATATATATGTATTCATATACAGTTAAACTGTGACATTTGTTGAAATTAATTCAAATAAAACTTTACATAAGAATAAATAAATGGCACATTTTTCCCATTATTTGATCTACATTTAATCTCTTTGATTGTTTAACTGACAACAGGCTTTGAATCTTTATCATGAGCAGAAGAGAAAAGCTAATTAAAACAATGAAATTAGTTTGTTTTAATTATTTATTTCTCTGGATAAATGTTTTTTTATAATTATAATGTATAATTGTTATAATAAATTAATTATAATTCGTCTTTATTAATATACATTATTAGCAACATAAGACAGCAAATAAAACCGAAATACGCCTACTATTATGTATTATACTATGTACTGAATCTATTTATACATGTAATATTAAAACTATATAATAATCTTAAATTAAATTAATTTAATTCTTCAAAATGTTTTTATTGAATTCGTGTCCTCTTTAATCCACCTTGTCATTCATTCACTCATTACTCCCAGCATGCAACAGGACGAGAAGACAAGCTTCCAGAGAGTAAAACCGCCCGGCGACAGGTGACAGAGGTCTGATTTCTGATTTCAGGGTGTGTGTGTGTGTGCGCGCGCTCTTTCTATCATTGTGAGGACCAGTTTGAGACGTGAGGACACATTTTTGTAAAGTGAAGACCTTTAGTTTGATCCTCAATTTGTCAAAGAGCTGTTTGATGTTTTAGACTTTAATAGCTGTTAAAGTTATTTTTGGATTCAGTATCACACACACACACACACACACACACACACACACACACACAGGTGTGAACTCAAACTCTCCTTCAGCTTCATCAACAGTTTGAAACTCAGAGTTAGAATCTTGCTGTCAGCGTCACAGCAACCGTTACCAAGACGACAGGTGAATCCTGTCTGTAATTTTCACAAACGACATTTAAAAAAGATGCACAGACGCTGTCTCTGTTACTCTGTTACTGTGTTACTCTGTTACTGTGTTACTGGTTATTCTGTTACTCCTGTTACTGTGTTACTCTGTTACTGTGTTACTGTGTTACTGCTGTTACTCCTGTTACTCTGTTTTTCACTGTTACTGTGTTACTTCTGTTACTCTGTTACTCTGTTACTGTGTTACTCTGTTTTTCTGTTACTCTGTTACTGTGTTACTGTGTTACTCTGTTACTCTGTTACTGTGTTACTGTGTTACTCTGTTTTTCTGTTACTCTGTTTTTCTGTTACTCTGTTTTTCTGTTACTCTGTTACTGTGTTACTGTTTATCCTGTTACTCTGTTACTCTGTTTTTCTGTTACTGTGTTATCCTGTTACTCTGTTACTCTGTTACTGTGTTACTCTGTTTTTGCTTACTCTGTTACTGTGTTACTGTGTTACTCTGTAATCTGTTACTGTGTTACTGTGTTACTCTGTTTTTCTGTTACTCTGTTTTCTGTTACTCTGTTTTCTGTACTCTGTTACTGTGGTTACTCTGTTACTGTGTTACTGTGTTATTCTGTACTCTGTTACTGTGTTACTGTGTTACTCTGTTTTTCTGTTACTCTGTTATGTGTTACGTGTTACTCTGTTACTGTGTTACTGTGTTACTCTGTTTTCTGTTACCTGTTACTGTGTTACTGTGTTACTCTGTTACTGTGTTACTGTGTTATTCTGTTACTGTGTTACTGTGTTACTCTGTTACTCTGTTACTGTGTTACTCTGTTTTTCTGTTACTCTGTTACTGTGTTACTGTGTTACTCTGTTTTTCTGTTACTCTGTTTTTTCTGTTACCTGTTTTTCTGTTACTCTGTTACTGTGTACTCTGTTACTCTGTTTTTCTGTTACTCTGTTACTGTGTTACTACTGTTACTGTGTTACTGTGTAACTTAACAGTAACAAATGT